CACTTGGTATAACCACATCAAAAGAGCTTTTGGCATCCACTACAGATAAAATGACTAAAATTTCCTTTTTCATTACCATTACATGTTCTTTAATCGGAACTTCGTCACTATATACTCTATTACCTTCTACGCATTGACTGTTACTGAGATGTTTTTGTACCACTGGTGCTTTAAAAAGTTATCAATAAAAATTCACGGATCCGAGGTGCGGCGGTCGCACTCGCAAAATCGGCCCGGTCCCACACGGCCAAAAAAGCCAAAACGCGCGCGGTCGTCAATGTGTTAAAGTCTTTTTATCGCTTACTTCACAAACTCCGAGTCAAGGTAGTTCCAGTCCTAGTTCACAGTTAGATGGGCAAACTTGGGGTAGATTTCGTCCAGTTTAGCTGGGCCCTCTACTCAGCAAGTGCATCACCAGGCTTTCAGCTTTTGCAGGAGGATAGAGTCACAAACTTGTACATCGGCTTTCCCGCAGACCTCTGTATAGGCCTAGTTGCACTTCAGTGTCATAACGCTTCTATCTAGAAATGGAATTTGTAGTTCACTTCGAAGAGGGATTAAGCCATATGTTCTGTCGTTCACCCTTTGCGCCTCATAAGCTCATGTGAACCATTTGTGATATCTCCTAAGGAGCGCACCGCGAAGACCAGAAGCCGTTGATATCTATTTTGAGAAACTGAGGGTGATATTGTGAAATTAATGAACCCCTACAGAAGGATGACCAAAGTTCAATGTGTCCAGTATGCTCCCGTATCAAATTACTGCAACAAACTTTTTGAAAGTCATGAGACTATACTGACAATCACAACTTTGCTAGGACCTTTGTTTTTGATCAAAAATCCTGAAAATTGTTTCGCAATATTTTTAGAGTGATCTTGAATCACTTGTTAGACAGATGAGGCACATGAGCTGAACAACTGCCAACTGTACATTATCATACGTTCATTGTTCCTTACACACTTGCTAAAAAATACTACGAAAAGTGTAAGTGCAAGGGTAGGGATCGAGCTTTCCAATAGTGAGTGGCGTTGGGATTTAAGGTAAAATTTACTTGCGGGTTCCTCAACTGTGCAATTCAGTGTCTTAGCTCTTCACAATACTGAAACTAATGAACACTTACGGAAGGATGAAATACCAAATAAGCCCATCCGACTGATTGGCTCAAACAAGTTTCGACCACCTGATTGTGCATGCGATTAGTAGCGTGACTTGCTACATATTAACCACCCTCGTCATTGGTAATGAAGTGGTGAGTATCACCGTCTGTCTAGCGAATTAGTAGGCCTAAGAGATACATTGGCATGCACCAAATGTACCCTAACATGCAATTCTGATTTTGGCATATCCCCCCTAGCGGATTTTTTTAAAGGCAGAATTTACGATGAAAAGCAACCCATTTCAAATTAAGGTTAGGGATGGTGAGTGGTACACGAAAGAAGGAAAAACCATGAGAAACGGCCCAGAACCCGAGAAATGGGACCCCTTCCTTGCCCGTTGATTTGAGCATTGATGCGACTCTCATCGCTGTGCCCTCTTCAACACTACGCTCTCTCTGCTATCTAATCACTCGCCACGTATAGACCTGCGGCGAGTGATTAGATAGTCGGTGGGCGTACCCGCCAACCGCGCCAAGAGTGAGCCATGCTAGATCGCCGAGGTCAAATCTTTCGCTGCCAATTGCGCGTCAGTCCGCACCCTCAGGAGGTCCGCCTGTCTCCCACTAGGCAATTTTCCCTTCTTCGACCTTTATTCTATCGTGGAATCCTCCTTTAATCTTCAAAAACTAATGGAATTTCGAATCGATTGGGCCGATCGCGATCAGGCAACGACTATCTGGACGTCTGTACTAGTGTCGTAGTTAATGTAAAATGGAATGGATTGTGATTGGAGAGGTTCCCTTATTACGATCCTTCACCAGTTCAGGGAGAAACGCGCTTCGGAAGCGGAAGTCTGTCATACGTTGCGCCAGGGTTACGGTGACAGGGTAACCGTCGCAGTTACTGAGTAGACTAAACCTCTAAGACTGTGGGATTACGGAGAGGAGGTGAACCCAGTCATCTCCATTGTCCTTGGAGTTGCTCCCACCTTAGCCAAAACCTCAGAATATCTCCACCAATCCCCACTCCCTTATTCCTTCAGCGTCCTAACTTTCCGTTAAGCTTAGGCTTAAGCCTTCCGCACAAAGTTGAGACAACCGTAGCCCTGACGCAGTATGACTGAATACCCTTGGCTCTGAAGCGATGTCGACTGAATCAGTAAAAGTGACGCACGTTGAACAGCCGCTAGCCTTTCAGCGTTGTTAAATGGCACCGTAAACTTGGCGGCAACTTCTGTAAAATTACCTAATATTTAGTTATTATATTGTAATATAAGTGTGCCTGAATGCTCTAGTTAAGCATAACAAGTTTTATTTCAGGGTGCGTCAATTCAGAATCGACGAGAAAGGAGCTGTTGTTTCTCGTGGAGACTCTTTCAGACGAAAACGAAACGAAGCCAGCCTTAAAAGTGAGCTTTTCCAGTTCCACTGGGCACTGACTGTTACTGAAACAAGATTTAGGTTCAGATGACAAATCCCCATCACCGTATCCGATCTCTGGATCGGATTCGGCTCGAGGGTCTCGTAGTGAGAGCGTGTCGTCGAGTGAGGATTCACGACGAGAAATTGCTGCCACTGCCAACGTCAACGCTGTTTTTAACACAGATCCGTCTACCAGTCACAAGGCTTACAAGGTAAGGGTTGAAGGATTTGTAGTTAGATCCTCGACGATCCAAGATACGGGGGCATTTTAGTGGCATTTAAAACCACCTAGAACATACTTTTTTGTGACTAAGTTTTAGCGAGGAAAGTCTCCAGGATGTGCGGGGATTTTCATTTTCCCTGACTTCCTATCCCGCCTAGACTTAGTCCTAGAATAGCCCCCTTTTTGCGATAGCGCTCGGATTTGTCATAAGTTACGTAGGGTGAACTGTATTCCAGAAAATTTTCAAAATTGATCGAGTCCTTTTGTCGAGGATGCTGTATAAACTGAAAAAAACTATAACTTGAAACTGTTGAGGGCTTTTAATTGAAGCATTTCAAAATTCTCATGGATCTCATCTTGCGGGCATTTGTTGTTTCCCAAATATCTTGCGATATAAGAACTTGGGTATGGGTTATTGGTTCCCGCGCACGCGTCAGGCTTGCGACGGGGAAACGTTTAATTCTCCCGATAGGTGACCAGAGTTGATTGGGCGCCATGATTGAAGCCTCAGGTTAAGTTTAGGTTTGAACTTAGGCTTATGCTTACAGTCTCCATGTCTCAATAACGCGGGAACTAACCCCTATATAAGGTTAGCCTTCCAGGCGGGAACCCTGAATTCGGATTAGTCTAATATCCGCTATACAGTCTCCTGTGAGCTGATTCCGCTGATCTAGGAAGGTACGGTACTTAATCTGCCCACTAATTATGTGATGTTTAGCTGGTCTCGAAGCTCTCGTAGGGCTAGCGAGACATTTGGTCGAATAAATCATGAATTGGTTTCCACTTTTTAGGGCTCCGAAGAAAGGCAAAAAAAAAAAAAAAAAAAAAAAAAGAAAAAAAAAAAAAAAAAAAAGACCGCCGCCGCAACGGTTTAGGGCCGCCGCATCAATATTATTACCTCAGTTGTTGAGGAAATAAACTTCTACTTACGCTTACACATGGGGTTTGAGGGCCTAGGTTCCCCCCGTTGGCTGGGTACCCACACTCGCAATGAACTGACTTGACCGAGAAATCAATAAGCTAGCTACCGTAGTGTCTATTTTCGCCCTACTCTACTGAAGCAAGGGTGCCGCTTCAATCAAATTTAAAAATGTCGTTAAACGCTTCTAAATGATGTTTGCTGGATCTAAAGTGCAGGCAGGTGTTGGCGTAACCGTCGCACCATCCATTTTAGTTCCAAATAATAAGAGGGATGACCGGTTACCAAAAATGGTGCTTTCGCGATTTTTATGAGATTATTTTAGATAAGCGTAGTTGGCGACACAGGCACCGGAAAGTCGTCGCTCATTGGTCAACTGATTACCTCGGAGTACAAGAATGCATTCGCCGACGAAATTCGTAAGAAGAGCTTCCACATTTCGTGGTTCGTGAAAACCCATGAAATGTGAATGTGACTATTCGATTTCAGAAGACTACGAAAATACCGTATCAATTTGCATTGGTGGGCCAGGAATTGGATTTGATATTCTTCGAGAAGCGAATTGTCAGGCGCATTGGCGAAAAAATTTTTCACTCGCGAAGACATCGCTTGACGTAATTCGTAAAATCGATCAAGGCTCGCGATGACGACACGCATCTTTAATTTTGTCGCCTGAGACCTCACGATTTTGCCAATGCGCCCGCCGTGATTCGGGATTGGATCACGCCGTCCCAACAAACTCTCTCCAGAGCTCGAAATAAGGTTCACAGTTCCAAAGGAACTCGTGGATTTATCTACTGAAGAATATAGTAAGTGTTCAAAGAATCTAGAAGGAAGCCTCGTATCAAAACAAATAGAACTAATTTATCTGCCGGACTAATTTGTCCTGGCCGGACCATGCTGCCCCTGGCTGTGATGCGACGCTGAGACCACGCTGTCGTCAATCGTGATAACCTTTTGGAAATCAGGACCCGATTAGTAAATTCATCAGAAGGGTTGAACAAATCTTTTCATTTCAGTCCGACCCGACTTGGATCTCCGAAGAAGTGGATGCATTCGTTGTAGTCTATAGTATTGATTCGCGAAGAAGTTGGAAACAAGCAACGACAGCGATTGAGGTGGTTTATTACTCTGAGAATCAGTGGGAATTTGATGTAATGGTTATATTACAAAAATCAAATCATAAAAGCATTCTCCGAAATGCGCTTCGCATTCTACTCCCACTAGGAATCTCAGCATGCAATCTCTCCGAAGCATAACCCGAGAAAGCCAGCCGATGGACAAATCTATTCCGTGCTCCATCAGTTCCATCACAAAATTAGCCCACCCAATTGTCTAGATGGTTGGCTGGTTGGCTGCAGCGCTTTCAGTTCGAGTATGGACCTCTGTTCAAAGAGATGGAGAAGTGGGCCCACTTGCCCCGTCTCCGCTCAAAGTGTCACTATAAAACCATGTTATTGCAAATAGAGTCCCTCGAGCTTCTGTTGATTTTCTTGATCAGTGATGGTTTCAGATGATCAGGAGAGACTTCCCGCTGCAAGAATTCGCCGATACTTGTCGCCGGCAACAAGGCCGACTTGGAACGAAAGCGAACTGTAACGAAGAGCGGTGGGTATTTTCGCGTACTTGATTTCTCGCTTTTTTCGTCGAATCTCCTTCGAGTGGTCAGATCCCAGAGCGATAAGTACGCTGCATCCATGCACATGATGCAAGGTTCAGAGTTAAAGACAGATTCAGGATAAAAAGGCAACCCATTGGAAATTAAGTTAGAGATGGTGAGTGACACACGAAAGAAGAAAAACCGAGAAACGGCCCAGAACCCGAGAAATGGGACCCCTTCCTTGCCCGTTGATTTGCGCATTGATGCGACTCTCATCGGTGCTGCCCTCTTCAACGCTAACGCTCTCTCTGCTAACGGCTAGAGACTCAGACACGAGACGGCGCGAGAGGGGCGTACCGCGCCAATAGCGCGCCAATTGC